ATTTGTATGTTTATGTGTCTATCAACAAAACGGTGGGCGGGACGTGACGGGGCGGTGCTGGGCTGGGCTGGGCTGGGTGGGTGTTGTGGCCGTTGACAGAACGTCATCATCAGCTTCAACAGCAGCAGCGCATCATTGTTGTAATTTGAAAATTCATAGTTGTCGTGTGACGTCAGAGCGCAGACAGCCGAGCCGTGGGAGTAACACAAAGCGAATAGCGCTGAGAACCAAATATTGTGAGTGTACGCAGAACGGTGCTGCGTTGTTGGTTTCCTTGCTTCGTTTTGTTTCGTTTTGTTGTTGTTTTCATTTATATCTATTAGTTTTTATTGTTGCCGCCACTTCTGGCTGCGTTTGTCTACGTGCTTTTAAACATGCTGCCTCTGCCGCTGCCGCTGTCGTAGTCGATGCCATTGCACATTGGAGGAAATGCCAACAAAATGCAGTAATTGTGAACAAAGCCTGAGGTGTTATAAATATATATATATATATATATATATATATATATATATATATATACAGAGGTGGTCAAAAGTATTTACACAACGAACATTTTTCTACATGCTCTGCTTAACGAGCTTTTTTTTGTTGTTTTCGTTCGCCGTTTTTGAAAAAAAGCTTTTGTGACATAAAGCCTATTCTATGTAGAAGCAATCGGCTGAAGAAATTGCTAAAATAGCGGTACATGCTAATAAATAGAGCGAAAAGAAAAATTACTTAGAGGTTGTCAAAAGTATTTACACACATTTTTTTGCGTCTTTAGTATTTACACAAAACTTAAACAATGTTTATTGCTATTGTTTAATGTTATTTCTTTTGGATTTTTGTTTTATATAACTAAGGGCTTATTTATTTAAGTTTGTGTTTAGTTATTTCTGCTTTTACTTCAATTACAGCCCGATGCCTTGCTGGAATTGATGCCACTAAGGATCGGGCAAAGTCAATTGTTAATTTCGACCAAATTTCGGTAATTTCCTTGATGATATCGTCCAGTTTCGGTCCTTGTTGAATAATCTGTTTGATTTCATCATTACCCAAACATTTTCATTTGATAAGGCCCGGACTTTGCGAAAACCAGGGCAGAATGGCTTAGCTTAAGTCCCTCAAAAGCTTTGTGGGTATTGATCCTTTATGGCAAGGAGCATTATTTTGCTGCAGCAGCCAGTCAATAACTAGAAATAGTCTGTTCCCTATGTAAATCATGGTGATTTAATATTGGCAGATATCCTGATTGATTTAGAGTGCCTCCTATTGGCAAGACATTACTTCCCACCTCCAAATCAGATAAGAGGCTTCACTGCATTTTTCTTTTTTTTTCGGCACTAATGCAGGAAGATGTTTCCAAATGACCCGTGAAACTGAAATTCAGCTTCATCTGTCCTCAAAACGTTGTGCAAAAGATCTAAAGGCTTTTCAATGTACTCTAAAGCAAAACGCTTTACTTTGGTGCCAATAGGAGGCACTCTAAATCAATCAGGATATCTGCCAATATTAAATCACCATGATTTACATAGGGAACAGACTATTTCTAGTTATTGACTGGCTGCTGCAGCAAAATAATGCTCCTTGCCATAAAGGATCAATACCCACAAAGCTTTTGAGGGACTTAAGCTAAGCCATTCTGCCCTGGTTTTCGCAAAGTCCGGGCCTTATCAAATGAAAATGTTTGGGTAATGATGAAATCAAACAGATTATTCAACAAGGACCGAAACTGGACGATATCATCAAGGAAATTACCGAAATTTGGTCGAAATTAACAATTGACTTTGCCCGATCCTTAGTGGCATCAATTCCAGCAAGGCATCGGGCTGTAATTGAAGTAAAAGCAGAAATAACTAAACACAAACTTAAATAAATAAGCCCTTAGTTATATAAAACAAAAATCCAAAAGAAATAACATTAAACAATAGCAATAAACATTGTTTAAGTTTTGTGTAAATACTAAAGACGCAAAAAAAATGTGTGTAAATACTTTTGACAACCTCTAAGTAATTGTTCTTTTCGCTCTATTTATTAGCATGTATCGTTATTTTAGCAATTTCTTCAGCCGATCGCTTCTACATAGAATAGGCTTTATGCCACAAAAGCTTTTTTTCAAAAACGGCGAACGAAAACAACAAAAAAAAGCTCTTTAGGCAGAGCATGTAGAAAAATGTTCGTTGTGTAAATACTTTTGACCACCTCTGTATATACATACATACATTTGATATTCTAAAGTGTGGAACGAAGATGAGAAACTAGTCTCTGTGTTAGGAAAATTACTTGCATTAAATTGCGAAATAAAATGTTAATTGATATTTAAATAATAATTCTAGTATTAGTATGGCTCACTTATAAGTAGAAATGCTTAGCGAAAGTAACTTAATTAAATTAGCATATCACATGCAATACGTATTGCACTGGGGAATTGGCAGTCTGTTTCCACTGTGCGATGTCAGCGTGCTGTCAATGTTCACGCCTAGCAGCCCAGACATTTTGTTGTTTCTTCTTTTTTTCTGCTTTTTGCTGTGAAGTTCTGCCGGCTCCGTGTATGTGCGTGTGCATGTGCGTGTGCTTGTGTGTGTTTGGCTTCTCGATTTTTCTGTGCAGAGAGCGCGTAACAGAAGAGCGCAAGAGAGCAGAAAAGTCGAAAACTGTTTGTTATTGCTGCTGCTGCATTGCCATATGAATGCAAGTGTGTGAGTGGGAGTGAGTGTGTGTATGTGAAGCCAGTCAATGGGACAAATACAAATATAGATAGACACATGCACGTGCACGTGCAGACACACACACACACACACACACACACGCATATATATGTATATTTATGTACCTATGCTTTTATATATGGCTAGCTATAATAGGACTGCAGTCAACCGCACGTCGGTTGGCGCCACCTGTCGGTGGCTTGCCCATAATGCCTGAATGTATTTACGAGTGTGCAACCGAGAACGGAACACCCTTCGGTGGCGCCCAGGTTGATCAACTATTTAACAAGCAGGTGACTTTTGCACTTCTGCCACCTGTGCTTGCAATGGGGCTAAAAGCTGGGGCTAGCTTTAATGTTGGGGCAACACAACAATACTTTAACATCGCGTCGGAACGAAATGCTTTAAACGCGCCTTAAGAACCCGAACTTAATTCAAATATTTAAATTCACAACAAAAAACAAAAACAAAAGAAAAACGCAAAAAAATTCGAAACAACAAATAAACGAAAAAAAAAGAGCGAAACCAAAAAAAAATATTTTACAACCTTGTTGCAAGTTTTACGAGCCGTTCGCCTTGTGCTCTACCTACTAAAATGAAATTGTGCCTGTGTTTTATATATTTATATATCTATATACATATATATAATATAAATATCCATTTATTTTTATAGCAAATAAAATATGGAAATATGAAAATAAATTCAAAGCAAAATCAATGGAAATGTGTCGAAACAGAATCGTAACGAAATAGTTGCCTTAACAATGAAACTTCCTTGTTGACATTATAAACGTACATAAATACATACCTATATATACAAAGCAGTAAATAACATTTATATACACGAAATATTATACATACATATATACAAATAGATATACAAACAAACAAACAAACATATATATTTTTAATACAACAATTAAAATTCAAATAAAATAATTATTGTAATATCTTAAAAAAAAAAACAATAATTATTAAAAATAAATTAATTAATTAAATAAGAATGATAAATTATAAAAGTAAAGTTACAAATATTGACATCTATGAAAAAATTAAGAAAAAGTGAGAAAATAAATAAATCAAAATAAAAGTAAAATAAAAAAAATAAAAATAAAAAACAAATTGTAAAAAATCAGAATTATTAATACAATAATAAAATTAACGAAAAAATAATATTAATAATATCAAAATAAGAACAAAGTGAACCATAAAATTGTAAAAATAATAATAATATAAACTATAAAGTAGTTATAAAAAAAATATTTATAAAAATAAAAATTAATAAAAAAATTTAAAAAATTAAAAAAATAATAAAATAATAAAAAAATATTGTAAAAAAAAAAATAAAAATAATAATTAATAAAAATAAAAAATAAATTAATTAATAAAAATAAAAATAAATTAATTAATAAAAATAAAAACAATAAGAATAAAAATTAAAAAAAAAAAAACAAAAAGAACAACAAAATACTTGAAAAAAAAATTAACATCATGCGCCTAAAAGAGACCACGAAAAAATCACCAACGCTGCTGCCTCTGTCCGGCGAGCTGTTCAAAACGCTGCGCATATCGCCGCCAACAGTTGCGCAACAGCAGCAGCTGCACCAACAGCAATACCTGCAGCAGCGCTGCAGCAGCGTCGGCAGCACCAGCAGCAGCGGCACCTGCGAAACGGAACGCTCCACACTGTCATCGTCATCGGCGCTGTCGCCGCTGGCTGCAATGGCTGCGATGCCCACAATGCCCGTAACGATGCCCACGATGCAGACGATGCAGACGATGCATGCGATGCCCACGATGCCCGCCGTGACGATGCCAACGCTGCCCGCCAATGTGGATGAGGCAGCAGCCGCTGCTGCGCTGGCGGCCAACATAGCCGAGTCGTTTACGTTTCTGCAGCAGCATGCGGCGCATCATTTTCGCGACATTTTGTATGCGGCTCACATGCTGGGAAGAGGTACAAGGGGCGGGCTGGGTGAACGGGGAACGGGGAACGGGGGGACGGGCGGGCGGTCAGTGGGTGGTGCTGGGTAGCTGGTAGCATTATGCTAGGCTAAGATTGTTGCACGACCAGCTCGTGCTCCTCCGTGAGGCCGAGCGGCTGGCTTAACTAGTTTTTGTTAGCCGTTTTTGTTGTTTGTTTGTTTGTTGTTTTTTGGCCAACCAACCAGCCAACTTTCACTTTATGCTTGGTTGCCGCATTTCACTTGAGCTCCAGCAGCTACGCAAAAAAAAGAAGAAGAAGGAAATAAAATTTTTACTGATTTCTGATTTCTGTTTTTTTTTTTTTTTTCTTTTTTCGTCTTATTGCAGGTTATTATCAGCCGGCGGGTCCGCTGATCTCGCCGCATGTCATTGCGCCACCGCCACCGTCAGCCACAACAGCAGCAGCCGCTCAGGCAGCGGCAGCCGCAGCGGCGGCCGCAGCAGCTGCAGCAGCAGCAGCGACAACACCAACATCAGCAGCAGCAGCAGCAGCAGCTGCTGCTGGTGTGCCACAGCCAATCAAGAAGCTAAGCGAGGACGAATCGCCGACAAATCCAACCAGTGCCGCACAGACTCAGCCGCCAGCGCAGCAGGAATCGTCAGCGGCGGCAGCAGCAGCTGCAGCAGCAGCGGCAGCAGCAGCAGCAGCAGCTCACCAGCAACAGCAACAGCAGCAACAACAGCAGCAGCAGCAGCAACAGCAGCTTCAACAGCAGCAGCAACAGCAGCCGCAACAGCCACAGCCACAGCCGTATCCGGGCGCCAGCGCCGTGGCGGCTGCTGCAGCGGCCGCTGCCGGTCATCCGGGCGTGCCATATCCGCGCTCTATGCACGCGGCCCAGATGCACTACTCGACGGCATATCCGCCCAACTATTATTCACCGTATCCGGGCGAGGTCATGTGCTATTCGCCGCCCGCCTATCAGCCGTACTTCTCCAGCAAGGTCTATCAGAGCGGCCCGCCGCCGCCCACACATCCGGCTGCGCATCCACCGCCACCGCCGCCGGGCGCGTATCGCCGCTATCCGTATTATCAGCACGCTGGGCCGCCGCATCCGCCGCCGCCGGAGCTTTACGAACAGCAACCGCCGCCACCGCCGCCGCAAGGTGTGCCCCAGCCGCCGCCGCAGCAGCAGCAGCAACAGCAGCAGCAGCCGGTCTCAATCGCCGCAGCGGCAGCAGCTGCCGCCGCCGCCGCAGCTGCAGCAGCAGCAGCCGGTGCCACGCCCGCCCCGGCCGGCACCCAGCTGGTGCCCGCCCACCAGCACCAACAGCACCTGGAACATTACCCGGGACCGCCCGGCTACTACGCCGGATACAGTCCAGGAGGCGGCAGCGCCGCCGGCCAGTGCTACACGCGCGGTCTGCAGGGTCCGTATATGGGTAAGGAAAAGTATGGTTCTTGCCACCTAACCAATCCACAGATGCACCCAGATACCCAGAGAACTGATTAGAGCTGCTCCTCATATGCTAGATCCATGTAGAGCCCTCCACACTGATTGGAATGGAGTGTGTCCAATTGGAAGCGGAAATGTTGTCAGGCAGGCAATAACAGTAAACAAGAGTTCTATAGAGGCGAAAGAAACGTTCACACAATGAAAAGACAATTCTAATAGGATAATCGTGTCCAATTGGAATAGAGTATACTATCAATGATGTGATATCAAGATATAGATAATCGAATATACAACAAATTTCACAAAAGTCGAATGGGAAAGAGATGTGTCCAATTGGAATATAACAGATTGAATAGAACTGATATTTGTATGACAAATAGGCCATATTAGGATAGTTAGTTAATTATTAGGGACTAGAATTAATCTAACATGAACTGAAGCCTCTGGCTTTCCAAGATACAGTAGAATCCGTTTATAACGACTCCGCTGACAGCGTCCGTACGGTTATAGCGACGAAAATTCTGTTCCCCAATCAAGTTATATAAGCAAATTTATGCGGTTATAGCGTCTTCCGGGTATAACGACGGTGCCTTGATCGTCTATGTAAGAAAATTTTGCTGACAATAATTAAGGATACAATTTTGAGGAAATGTTTCATTGCTGAATAGATAAATTGACTGGCTTATATGTGATGATCTTTTGAGAAAATGAAAGTATATCGAAGGCAAGAAGGGGGTTAAACAGCATATGAGATATTAGAAAAGGTCTTTCAATAGAGGTCTTTCAATAAAGCTCTTTCAATGGAGGGTTTTCAATATAGGTCTTCCAATAAACGACTTTCAATGGAGGTCTTTCAATATAGGTCTTCTAATAGAGGTCTTTCAATAGAATTTGAATAGAATAGTTGCTGTAACTATGAGGGATTAACATAAACATAAATCCAATTGGAGCCCAGTGCTAATATGAAATTCTTTCTTTAAAATATTACAGAGTATCCGCCGCAGTGTCCGTGTCCAATGCAACAATCGTGTCCAAAAAACGTCCATACTGGGCCTCATATTGGTAGCAACAGCAACAGCAGCAGCAGCAACAGCAACAGCAGCAGCAGCAGCAACAGCATCAGCCACAACAGCAATTGTTCCACGCAGAAGACGAGCAGCAGCAGCAACAATTTGCTGCTGAATGCTACGAGCCACAGCAGCAACAGCAGCAACAGCAGCAGCAGCAGCAAGAGCAAGAGCAATATGCCTGTGCATGGCAGCATGCCGAGCAGCGATGGCAGCAACAGCAACAACAGCTTGACTTCCAACAGCAGCAGCAGCAGCAGCAATATTTTAGCAGCAACAGCGATAACAACGACAGCAATAGCAACATTAGCAACATCAGCAACAGCAACAGCAACAGAAACAGCGCTGACTACCAGTAGAGGCCCAGTTAAAAATGGCAACAACGATAAGACAAGGACAACTAGCAGAGATACGACAACAATGACAACGACAATGCCGACGGCAACGGCAACGGCGGCAACGAACACAACAGCAACAGTTGCCTCCGTTGCAACATCGGCCACAACGACCACCAACAACATGGGCACCCAATGCCAGATGCTGGTCAAAACGGAGCTCAAGAGCGACGCCGAGTGCCAAGTGACCAAAATGCAATACGAGGCGCATGTGATGCCGCCGCCAACTCCGCCGGAGAGCTACTGTGCCAGCGACGACAAGTTGCTGGAGGAGCAGGAGCAGGAACAGGAGCACGAGCACGAGCACGAGCACGAGCATGAGCTGGGACTAGAGCAGCGACAGCACCAGCACCATCAGCAGCAACAATTGCAACACCTGCAACAGCAACAGTTGCAGCAGCAACATGCCAAGGATATTGAATCCTATGATTTAACGGGCAGCACGCCGCCGCCTCCAGTTGTGATGCCGCGTAAGGCGCGCATTGGCAAGAGCATGGCCAGGGAGATGGTCTATGCGGCGCAACAGCAGCAACAGCTGCAACAGCAACAGCAGCAACAGCTGCAACAGCTGCAACAGCAACACCTGCTGCAACAGCAACTGAAACATAAAGAACAGCAACAACTTCTCAGCAAACAGGCTGAGACCGAACCACAATTGCCTTTTGTACTTAAAGCAGAAATCAAAGCGGAAACCAAAATCAAAATCGAGCACGATGAGCTAGCGGCAGCAGCAGCAGTTGCCGCTGCCTCAGCGGCTTTAACGGCGGCCACATGCAACACACATATCAGCAAAATGCCCGATCTGAAGCCCACAATTAAGACGGAGCCGGAGCTCGATTTGGACATGCAAAAGCCACAGCAGCTGGAGCAGAACATGGAGCAGGAGCAGGAGCAGGAGCAACAGCAGCAACAATTGCCGCCTAGCAGCAGCAGCAGCAGCAGCAACAGTGGCAGCAGCAGTGTTGCCAAGCAGCGCATCAATTTGCTTGCCTCGGCCACGCAGGGCAAGAAGTCAAAGCCGCACAGCTACAAGAGTCTGATCAAGCAGGCGGAGCCAAAGAAATATCTGTGTCCGGGCCGTAAGCTCGTGCGGCGCTACGGCCGAGCGCCGGCCAAGTATGTGAAGCGCCGGCAAATGTTGCTGACGCAGCGACAGCAACGTTTGCGTCGCGAGCAACAGCAGCAGCGCAAGCAGCAGCAGCAGCAGCAACAACAACAACAACAACAGCAGCAACAAGAGCAGCAGCAGCAGCAGCACCCGCAAACAGCAGCAGCAACAGCAACTGACGCGGCAACAGCAGCAACAGCAGCAACAGCAACGGCAGCTGCAGCAGCAACATTGGCTCTGGCCAACAGTTGCTCGCCCAGCGCCTCGCCGAAGCGCGCGCGTCCGCGCAAGCAAGCGATTGCTGCGCTGCATCTGCTGGACAGTTTGGATACGACGCTGACGCGTGGCTATTTCAGCGATCCGGAGCTGAATAGCAGCAGCAGCAGCAACAGTCGCAGCACGGTCAACGTTGGGCTCTATGCGCCGGCCATACCGTCGCCGCTGCTGGCGCCGCAGCTGCAGTCGCAGTCGCAGTTGCAGTCGCAGTTGCCGTCGCAGTTGCAGTCGCAGTCGCAGCCGCAGTCGACGTTGGCGAGCGAGAAGCGCTCCAAGTCGGAGACTAAGAAGCCGCTAACCCAAGCGAATTGTGCGGCCAGCGCTGTGTTGGCGTCGCTGGCGACGGCGACAGCAGCGACGCTGCCAGCGCAGTCAACTACCTCAGCTGGCGTTGAGCCGCCGGCCAAGAAGGCGCGCAAGCAGCCGGCCAAGGCCAAGGCCAGGCCGGCAACGGCCAAGAGTCGAAAGGCAGCAGCAGCAGCAGCAGCGACAATAGTTGCTGCAACAGCAACAGCAACAGTTGCTGCCGAGACCAACAACAATGAGTATCAAACGGCTGACTTGCAGGTGCAAAAACTAAATGCCACGCCCACAGTGCCAGTTGGTGCTGTTGCTGTGCACGAAATGTTGCCAGCAACAGCAGCAGCAACAGTCGCAGCAGCAACACAGTCGCAGCAACATTCCGATGAGCAACACAAGTTCCTGGTGCCCCACAAGCCAATTGAGACACCAACAACGCTCACAGCGCCCACAACAACAGCAACAGCGACAGCAGCGACAGCAGCAGCAGCAGCAGCAGCAGCAACAACAACAGCAGCAACTACAGCATCTGCCGCAACACGCCACGCCCCAACGGCAACGCACACGAAACGCGCCCGTTCGCGTTGCAAATTCGGCAACCGCAAGAAGCAGCGACAGCGGCCCAGCGGCGTCAGCCACGAGCTGGACGAGACTCAGCCGCCGGCAACGCGGGCCAATGTGGTGCCCAAGTGGAACAACGGCTGGATGTGGGCGGGCAAGGCGTTTCAGGGTGCAGTGTTTCTCAATGTGAGTGTGTACTGTAGTTCAGTTTGAGCTTGAAAATGACAGCCTATCTCTCTCCCTCTCTCTCACTCTCTCTCACTCTCTCTAGAGCGATGATCCGTTGGTGCTGCGCACCTGCTATCCGGCCATGCGGCATGTGGAGGGGGACATCATACGCACGCGCGACTGTGTCCTGCTGAAGGCCAACGAGGACAACGAGCTGCCCTATGTGGCCAAGGTGGCGCATCTATGGCAGAATCCCGAGGATGGTAAGCGTCAAATAGGTTCCAAATAGGTTCCACAACTCCATTGAGCAGTCATGCACTGAATTAGGCCCCAAGCGGAACTAGTTCATTAATAAAATATCTCGAATTGCAATGAGAATCAATCGATTGAACCAGGGGATTATATTATTTGAACTTGAACAATGAGCTGGTTCATATACATATATGTAGTGTAATTTACCTAGTTTCATGTATGTAAATGTGCAAGTCATCAAATGAACCAACTAGTTCTTTTTTTTATTACTAATTCTTAATTATGAATTTCTAATCAGTAATATATGTGATATATGTATATGTATAATTGATATACTCTAAGAGCTGAACTGAACCATAGTAAATCACAAAATATATATTCCGTTATTTATACATAAATAATCTGATGAGAATTGTGTGATTAAAGGGAACTAGTTCGCTCATTTATACAAGAGCAGAACCAATAATTTATTGTGAGCACGAAATAGATGTTTTTAAAAGTAATGTTTAAACGAAAATACAAATGAACTAGTTCTTTTGGGTCTTTCAGTGTGTGAACAATTTAATTAATTTCTAAGCCTATATTATAAGTTTAATTTATATTTATTTTTATTATTTTTAATTCTAATTTAAATTTAAGTTTAAAATTAAATTTTTGTTTTAAATTTATTTCATTATTTTTTTTAACTGAAAATTAAATTTACATTTAATTTTAATTTTTATTTCAATTTTATTTTAGTTTGTATTTATATATATTTTTTAGTTATATTTTCGTTTTAATTATGATTTATAAAAATACTAAACTAGCTATTGAAATGGAATGATTTTTTAAATTATTATATTAATTTTAATGTAAATTTTCATTTTGATTTTGATTTCAATTTCATTTTAGTCTTCATTTTGATTATTATATAAATAAGATATTTTTTATTTTTACTTTTAATTATTATTTAAAAAATGGTAAACTAGTAAACTCATGAAACGGAGTATTTAATTAATTTCTGGTGCTTTTCAGGTGAAATGATGATGTCGCTGCTGTGGTATTATCGGCCAGAGCACACGGATCAGGGCCGGCAGCGCAACGACTGCCCGGACGAGGTGTACGCATCGCGGCATCGGGATCACAATTCGGTGGCCTGCATCGAGGACAAGTGCTACGTGCTGACCTTTAGCGAGTACTGCAGGTGAGTGGCCCGATGTCATTTGAGTTTCGTTGATTCACTGATTCCAATGCCATTCGTACCCTGTGCAGATATCGACGACGTCTGCGCGCCGCCGAGGAGGATGTGGAGGATGTGAGCATTGTGCCGCGACGCACCAATACGAGCAATTGCTTTCCGGTGCGCACCGTGCCGGACCAAACCAATCCGGAGCTGGTGATGTTCTGCCGGCGCGCCTACGAGTTTCGCACGCGCCGCCTACTCAAGCTGCCGCAGAAGAATGCGCTGGTCTGCAGCTAGCGCCGGGCCTTGTAGGGCTATGCCCTCATGGAGCATCCAATTAGAGTTGGGAATATGGACGAGCGAGACGAATGCGGCATATGTGGACAGGGAACGGGCCCATCTATGTCGCCAACAACAGTCTGGATGAAGGCCTCCCATAGGCCAAGACAACACACACACACACGAACACACACATACAGACGACCAAAATGGGGAGAGCAAAATGAATGAATGGAATTGGTTGGAGCACACGCAGTTGAATTTCAAGCAAATCTTTTGTATTACATAACTCCTTATTTATTACAACAAAAACAACAACACAGACACACAGACACACACACACACAGACACCACTTGTTATTAAGTTAAATGTATTTATTATGATTAAGTTTAGTCAGCAATCTTGTTTCAGCTCCTTATTATTCTAAATGTGTATATGCTCTTATGATTTGTTAACTCATCTACTTATGCTTATTTCCAAGACTCTATTCTATTCAAAAAAAAAAAAAAAGGGAAAATGAAACATAATTAACTAATGCTCAGGCAAACACTTTGCGCACACACTCTGGCGACTTCAGCAACAAACGAAGGGAACAGATTTTGAGAAGAGTTGATAGAAGAGAATAGAAAAAAACACGAAGAAAAGAAAAGAAAAAACTGGACACAATTCTACGAGTTGTTGGTTTTTTTGTTGTTAGTTTTTGTAAGCGAAAAGATAAGAAGAAGAGAAAGTGAAAAAGAAAACAGCAAATACTTTTTTGTTTTTTGTTTTTAATTTTATATTGAGCAAAATACTTTGAGAAATTTGATTTCTGCAACAAATTTAATTTACATATATACATACAAACATATATATAAATATATAGACCAAATTAAGTACATATACTAAATATATATTATTTTTTTATACCAACTTAAGAACACACACACACACACTTATATAAATATATATACAAATATATAATTTATACATTTGATGCAAGTACTACTATATAGTTAAGCTACAGAAATCCTTAATGAACAGAAGCGGCAGCAGCAGCAGCAGCAGCAGCAACAACAACAACAAGTCACATACACTAACAAATGTACTTTAAACCTTAATATACATATATATAGAAATCTTTATATATTTTACATATTATTTAATTTTAATAAATGCTTAGAGCTCTTAGTTTGAGAATCCTTTGTTTTATACCAAATACAAAATAATTTATGCACGTAATTTAGACACGAACACACACACACACACACATACACAACTACATATATGCACTTGTGTATTATCTATATATTATATATATCATTATTTTTTTTCTATTTTTTTTTTTTTGTATTTTGTTTGCTATTAAAACAAAATCCCATAATAAAAATACATTTTTAATCGAACCAAAGCGTTTTATGTTTATGCCAGATTCCTAGAGTTTTTCAGCTATATATATATACATATATGTATGAATATATTTTTTGTTTAAAGAAATATTTCATTTAAAATACATTATGAACAGAATTATTTACATTTTTTATAGCTTATATATTTAATTTAAAATATTTTTTTAGATATTTTATTATAAATATTTTAAATGGCATTTTTTTTTTAATAAAAACAAAATATATTTTGTAGAACAGAATTAAAAAGGATATCTATTTATGGTTATCCACCCATTTTAATTTTAAATTTTATTTTATTTTTTTTTAAATATATTTAAATATATTTTGAACCGAATAATATTAGAAAACAATCTACTTCCACTATTCTTTAATTTTATTTATTAAAAATGTGACACAATTTGCAGTACTTCATATCTAATCTTGAGTTAAACCTAAAAAATATCAAGAATATTTTGATTTAAAAATATCTCGTAAATTTTTAATTTATCTGCAAGAATTTCGGGTGTGAAAAGCGGCAGTAAAAGGAAACTAGTAGCGGGCATATATAGTATAGAACATACATATTACCAAAAGTAGGCGGACTGCAGTAGGCGTATCAATGAGCTACATATATTGTATATACATATGCATATATGTATATACATATATATTTATATGTATATCTGTGTATGTAGGAAACTAGAGAAAGTAAAGGGCATAGAGGAAAGCAAAAACAAAGTGTGTGGCTTAGACAGGTTAGCAGTAGGAAGCGTTAAAAATAAACATAGATACACAGACAACCACACACAGACAGACAGATAAACATACATACAATACATATATATACTATATATAGGGAGCATTGCAAACATATGAAACATGTATACCAAGCATATATATATATATATATATATATATATATATATGTACAGATATATACATATATATCAAATAAGAACACTGTTTACAACTGGGGACACCATTTGGCCAATTTGGGGCAGCCAATGGTGTGCAGCACAATGTACTCAAATGCAGGGGAAATGAATTCAATTACAGCCATGAGGTATACATAAAGAGAGAAAGAGAGAGGTAGAGAGAGAGAGAGAGAGAGAGAACGAGCCACAACGTAGCCTAAAATATTGCGAATTATATTTGTATACCCTATACATACATATATACATACATATTATACATAACGATACATCAATACATACACACATTCATGCATACATACGAGTACACACACACACACATATATTGGGCACAACTGGCCAATTATACAATACATATACAATAAAAATACTATATACGTATATATATATAAATTTATATATATATGTATATATACACACATATATATATATAATTATATATAAATTTACATATATATATATGTATATTTCTATAGATAAAAGAGAAGCAAAGAAACAAGGAATAGTCCCAAAAAAGTTCATATATTTGTACAATAGTCAGTAAAGTGGAGCAAATATCGGCACAAATGTTGGGTACAGTTGAAACAAAACACACATACACAGAAAAACACACCCACACACGCACACACCCACACACACACACAGAATGCCTGAAGAAGAAAATACCAATATACAAAAAATGTAACGATAAAAAAAAAAAAAAAAAAAAAAAAAAAAAAAAAAAACAACAAAGCTAATAATATGATGAGTAAATGAACATAATTTTATGGTTTTTGAAACAAATGTTATCGATTAATTGTAGCCTGTAGCCAAAAGAAAATGAATATGAAAAGAAAACGCAATTTCGCAATTTGTTTCCCAAATTTTCTCCCAAATAGTTAAATGCCTGTGCGAGTGTATGTGTGAATGCAGTACGCATTATTGACTCATTACTATTATAATTGTCATGATTATTATCATTATTATTATTGTCATATTGAACAAGTTGAATTTTTGTGCCACGCCCATTTAACATTTACCACGGGCCGTGGTCGATGTTTATCGCAAATAACTATATAAAAAAAAAAAAAAAAAAAAAAAACAAAGGCGAAGAAGAGAAAAATAAAAATAAAACGTATTTTTTTTTTCCTCAACAAAATGTTTCCACAAACAATGCTAATGAGAAATGGAAGTAACAAACGCAATTAGCAACTAAACAACTAAACAAGAGAAAAGCAACAAAAGCAAAATCATAACACAACAAAAAACGGTCAATAAAAATCAAAATATTGTTTATTAGACAAATAAATGTATTTTTTGGCAAACTGATTTTCATATGGGACATTGTATGGGTGTATGGGTGTATGAGGATTTCAGGTATATCATTTTGGTGCTCTTCTATGCAATTCTCAGCACTGAGTCAGTCACACCCAGACTCACTCTGATTTTGATTAGTCCGAACAGCTGTTCTCAACTAAATTGGAGTGAAAGTACAATATATCAATATCAAAAGCTGGGCCTGTCGTAAAGCTCATTTAGTTGCATTCGTGGACAATAGCTGATTAGACGTTGTGTGCTGGCAGTAATCCAGTTTTCTATACCCGGGGTAAGCATTGAAAAATGTCCATTATAATAAGAAGAATAGCAATCATAATCATTATCATTAGCATTATTAGCTTCTCCATAATCAGCAATATTATTATTAATTAATACTAATATAGTTTTCATAATCATCATCACCTCATCAGTATCATGCAACAACGCTTTTATAATTACTGTCATTATCATTATGATTATGCTGATGATGATTAACAAATTGCCATTAGAATCATTTGATAATGAACTTATATCTATATCAATTTAGTTATTTAAAAGTACTAAAAAGATCGGAGAATTCTCTCACAACTTAAGCTAGCTCTTAATTTAGTTAAATACTGTTATTTAGCACACATACTAAGCTCAGCTTATTTGCGTAACTGAACTTGAATGATAATGATTCTCATTGCTAATTGTTTTTGTCTCATTATTTTTTTTATTGAATGCACTTGGAACTATTTCAAGTTCAGGCAAATCGGTTAGGGCTAGGCTAGGCTAGGCTAGGCCCGGCCTAGTACTTGAGCGGGAACCGCATTCATTGCTCGAGTTCGAGTTCGGAGCCATTAGCACTTGGGCACTTCGGACGTCACGCACGCCCACAAGGGGAATTACAGCCAAGGCTGATGGGCATCCAATACACGTAACGCTCACAGCTGACAAACGCTTCACGTACAGTTCTACTTCAGGGCGTGGATGAAGGGGGGCGTGGTGCGATCTAGGCTGACATTGATGTGTCGAGTCGGGCTCTCTGACGCATTCTGCGAAGCGCAAACCTCAAGCTTCAGCCGCAAATTAAAATTTGTTGCGACCGCAATTAAGTTAATCGCGCTAACATTGTTGTTGTTGTTGTTGTTGTTATTGCTTTGCTTATAGCATGTTCTCATGCTTGTGCAAATTGCTTATTCATATTTAAAGAAAGTCAACAATTCGTTTTGATGTTCTCACAAACGCAGGCCAATTACCTTCCCCTTTATACAAATCAGTGAAATATACCGAAGCTATCTATATATAGTTTGCTTTGAGTACCCTGTAAGAATAGCTACTGGGTTGCTCGACGCTGTTTCAGCTGCGAAGAAGCTCTTCAAGTCTCATATAAAGATCGTTTCTCGTTTCGGGTTGAATCTGTATTAGACTATTTTAAACTGTTATACACAGTGGCTCGAATCATAAATTGAAGCTTCACTCAGTTCCCATTTATTATCTGGTATCAGAAATGGTTTGACTTTCTTTTAAAATGTTATAAACTGTTATACACAAGGGCTCGAATCATCATGTTACAAGTTGAAACACCATTCAGCTAAAGCCCCATTTGCTGGCTTGCATAATAATTGGTTAGTCTTTCCTTAAAACTGTTATAAACTGTTATACTGTTGTCACAACTTCAATTCACGTTGAATTCAAACACCGTATGCTTCAAGATCTATGTATTGCCTTGCATAAGAATTTGGTTCTTTGAAACTGTTATAAACTGTTATACGTGTCATAATCAACTTTAACTCTGCAATGCAATTTACTGCTTTGCCTAACAAATGGTTGTCCCTTATTTCAAACTGTTATAAACTGTTATAAACTGTTATACACAAGTTCGGTAAGTATAATTCGATCCCAGAATAACTGGCAAGCTACCCACTTTTTCGCTTTCAATAGACGAGTTCATAATAAACTGTGACTCAGTGTTGTTCAACAGGTGTTTGCTATGCCAAACAAACTCTTCTCTTAACGCCACTTGAATATGTGGCCATGTTTTCATTTTTCTATTTTGGCTAATTAGTTGGGCGTGTTCTGGGCATTAAATCATTTATATGGATCCATATGCTGTTGGGTCTGTTGTCGTGCTGAGTGTCGCTCAAGTCGTGCAGCTGTGTGGGAAATTAGGAAATTTGTCATTCGCGTTCCACTACATACATATATATGTACATACATACCTATATCTCACGGAAATACACATAATAAGTGGGCTGAAAAGAATGTACCGAACGTATTACTAATATGTCATGGAACATGGGATAGGGCTTAGAACAACATGGGAATCATGACTTTGATCTCCAATCCCCATAATTATTCCTATAAATGTTATGGATACTTAAGATTCGATTATTATAATGCCCAAGGCTCTGATTAAGTTGTCTCGTAGATCTACTTTAGACACTTTGTAAATTCCAATTCGACATCTTATAATCAGCTCTACAATAATAGCTATGATCATGTTGTCTAGTTTATACACTGCCCACAATTAGATCGTTCAGCTTTTATGTCTGTCTGTCGAAAAAATGTTAAGCATGGAAAATAAAGCACTGGGAACGGTGTTAATTACGGTTTAAGGTTCAAATACGTTTTATTGCCCTGCACGTCAAGTATTCTCTCTCTCTCACTCTCTCTTTTCTAAACACTTTTTGGCAATTAAATGAAAAGTGTTTTACTTTTAGTTTCAATTCAAGTTCATTTTAGACTTCAGGAGAGTCTAGTTCATTTCACACTTGCGGGTGGAATTAGTGCAGTGAGTCTATTAGAAAAGGCTAGCTGAGGCATTATACTCGTATAAGGTAAGTCTAGACTGGATTGAGTTTATGGCTTAGAAATTTTTGAATTTTCGATTCAAGTTGTTTAGTATTTAAAGACAAAAAAAAAAAAAAATTATTAAAACTTTTTTTATGTCATTTTAAATAGAATAAAACAGTCAAATGCTTCGGTTTTAGGTCTAAAATTCAATTTTCTATCAAGTTATAGAAGTTATAGAGGCAATGCTTCCTCGAAAATGAAACGAAATATAAACCCCTTAAATAAAATGACGTACTAAATTTATTAACAGTGACCTGTTAATTTAGACTTAATCAGCTGCTAAAATATAGCTATACAAAATAATATCACACTGATGGGTCACCCTCCAAATTCCGTTCAGCTGCTAATAACAGAGTATTTAAGCGTCGCATATTGCCGCTTTACTGAATTTTCAATGTAAGCACATCTCATATATAAACAAATAAGATGGAAAAATGTAAATAATAGAAAGAAAGAGGAGTAAACAAATCTTTTATATAACCATTCGAAGAAAACATTTGCGATGAATTTCTGTTTGGTTTAATCACCTCACTCCATCAGCACGTAGTTCCGATGATTACAGCAAAATTAATTAATAGCTGTGAATTTGAGTATACCCTGAACCCATAGAGAATGGAAAATCAGGGTATATTGGTTTTATGAAAATGAATGAAGTAGGCAGAACGAGGCGTGGTAGATGCCATAAAGGTATAAATATTCATACGATTGTCCACATGATCGCACCGATCTCGTAAATGACAACAGCGTACGACTTGAAATTTTCAATGTAGGCTCGTCTATACTAGATCTAGCACAAATTAATAATTTGATCGATAAGCATTGCTAAAAATCGATAACTTGACTTGTTCTTTAACATATCTGACTACCGTAACGCTGAAAATTTCAGATCGACTGCATTTACTGCATTGAATTGTCAGCTCTCGGCGTTGTTCAGTATTTTCCAGTCGAGTAGAGTCGTTTTGAGCACTATTACTTGTTTTTAGCTTTGTTCCGTTGCTCGCTTCCTCTGTTTCACTCCCTATTCATTTGCTTCTCGAATAAATCTCATTACTTTAGAAGTTTCCAGACTATATATATATTATATCAGTTGGAGTGAGAAAATTCGATCACATGCCTTTTTTTGGTCATTTATTGCTCACAGTTCACAATTTGGTATTTCACATCTATAAATAAGGCTTAAAAATAATATTAAAAAAAAAAAAACAAAATATTTTATATATATAAAAAAAAAGTTATCAACTTTAAGATCTCGCCGCCAGCAGTGCTAGGCACAGGGCCACGCCCACTGACGCTGCGGTCGCTGCGGTCGGTGAGGCGCCGTTTCTGTAGCCATAGTTGTTCAGATAGCCGGGCGGCGGGGGCATGGGTTGGCCACCGTTGTAGGAGAAGGGTCGTCCATGCTCGTCGGTGCCGCTGACGTAGTAGGCGCCATTGCCGCCCGCCCCGCCGTAGGGGCCACGCGCATCGATGCCCGCATAGCCGTAGCCATACTGAGGATCAGTGCTGCCCAGGCTGCCGGGTGGATGCATGCCGGGTGCGCCTCCGGCGTGGGAATTCGACCAGGCACCAGCGCCAGCGGCATTGCCCGCATTCCAGGTGACGCCGCCGCTCTGGGCGCTCGCTGCGATAACAGAGGAACAGAGGAATGGAACACGTTAACACTGATAATCCTTGTTGCCATTCGCTAGAGCTGGAGCTGGAGCTGGAGCTGGAACTGGAACTGGAACTGGACTTACCTGTGGCGAGGCAGGCGATCAGCAGACAGCATATTCCAAGCGCAAGCGCAATACAACTCCGACGATCGGTTAAAGACATGTTTCGGCTCTGGCCAACTAACTGCAACTAATTCGCTGGCGGCATCACGTCAACGGTTTTAAACTGGTTCCCAAGCCCACCCCAACCTCTGCCCCTCGCTCTGCTCGAGCTTGTTTTGCTTGCCTGAACTGCGACTGCAAATATTGTTGTTGTTCAGCGAGTCATCATCATTCTTGTTGTTGTTGTTGGTGTTGTTACTTTTAATTGTTTAGCTGCTCATTGCTATGCTCTTACCAGCGGGTATAATCGCCGTGTCACGAAACACGAATCGGCGCAGCGATCAAGATAAACCCCAACGTGTCGAAATCATTGCATTTCCTTCATATATAGGTTTAGCTATTGACATTGTATATTCGATATGTAGTTCATATGATCATCAGCTCTTCCCTTTGTTTACTCATTGCTCATTATTCATATGTACAATATGTATATAGGCAAAGCAAAAGGGAATATTAATAATAACAATTGATTTCGATTTCAATTTTAATATGTGGATTCTGTAAGCAAATGGTACCGACTGTTTGATACTCCCTCCATTCTGAGAATTGAGGAACGTGTATAAGAGAGAGGGAGTGAAAGAGGGTGAAGGAAAGAGAGATAATGAGAGAGAGAGAGAGAGAGAGAGAGAGAACAGGAGAGAGCAGGGGATTGAGAATGAGGAAGAGATAGAACAGGCGATGGATAGATATAGAGAAAGAGAGAGAGAGAGAGAGAGAGAGAGAGAAGAGAAGAGAAAGAGAGGAAGGAAAAGATTGAACAGGAGATGGGAGAGAGAGAGAGAGAGATAAGAGAGTAAGAGAAAGAGAGAGAGAAAGAGAAAGATGGCGATAGAGCAAGATATAGATTCGAGATATATGTATGTATATGAATATATAGAGATAAAGGACCGATATACAAAGAGATGAAAAATCACTCGCTTTACTCTCGTTTTCCTCTCGCTCAAGGAGTATTAAAAAAAAAATATTTAAGCAATTGAAAGTCTTTCGGTGATGAGAAATTCTGAAACGATAAATCTTCGAGCAAGAGAGCATCACATATTCCGCTTTAGCCCAAAAATGTTGGTAGCTAGAGCTCATCACTTATAGAGCATCGACAATTCGACTTTCAACGCACTTCTGTTCTTACATGATTTTTGTTTATGTTTATTTTTGTATTTTTACAATACGAAACACGCAAATTTTTGTGTAAATCTTTTGTTGTTGTAATCTGTACGAATTTACGTGAGAGACGCGAGTTTTTTTCCGGTATAGAACACGTTAATTTGTTGGCTCATTAATGATATGCATGACGAGGCGATGAGACGAGAATATGAGTATACAAACATACATACATACATACACACACATACATACATATACGGCGATATAATCTGCATATATTTGAGTACAGCTGCTACAGTTCTCTCCATATTGAGAAGCTCGAGAAGCGTATTTCGTATGGTAGCGATAAATATGGCGGCTATATGCGAGGCGGAATGCCCGCCCACGCATCCCTCGGATTGTATAATAAGCAAATACAAGCAAACAATTGCCAGGTATTACTCTTACTTTTACTTTTAGATTTGAAACAGCCGGACTGGTTGACTTGTTAGCACTTTTCGACCGCCAGAGAGTAGGGGTAAGAGTAAGAGTGAGAAAGGGAGAGCGAGAGCGAGAGGGAGAGAGAAACAATGCGGTCGCCTTGTTGTTCAGACAAATATTTGTGTCTCTTGTTGAATCACGAAAATTTGTTTACTTTCTATGCGACTTGTTGTTGAGGCGACTTTACGTGAACCTAGGCTGAAATGACAACATAAATAGGTCACTCCATATGTCAACAGGTACAAATTCGCAGCGAGCTCGTAGCTGGCAATGGCAATGACAATGACAGCTCCGCTGTCTCTGGTTAGCAAAGATCTTGGCTTTGAAATCGATGTATGATTGTGCTCTGTGAGAATCGCAAAGAGAGGCTCACGCTAAAAGCAGCTTCACAAACTGCAGACTAATCATGAGATTGTCTTCTGCTTAAGCTGTTTGTGTCAACTGCCTTTCTGTGCGATTCTCATGAATTTTAGCGCTTATAAGAACTACAGCAACTATTGTCGATTATACTAAAGAAAACTTTGAGCGTCATAGAGAAATATGAGCACACACACCAGTAACTCATTAAATTGACGACTCACCTAGGCGATTCTCAGAAAAGCGGACAGATTTCCAATGAAAGCTTACCATGCCGTACGCATAAAAGTCGCTTTAATTTTTACTATGCGCTAGATGAGGCGCTGCTACATACGTTCATTTGTATACTGCTCTGCTATGCGATTCTCAGTCATTCAATGCGGACTCAAACTTTGTTTATACAAGGAGTACAAGTAATATAGCTATTTGGACAATTGCTTCGACTTGCTGGACGCCACCTAGTGTATATAATTGCCAATATATTAACCTGTTCTCAGGAATGCAATGAAAGCCACAGACTGCTTATGATTAGCTTAAAAAAGCTACATTAACTCTAACTATTGGCTATACTAACTGCTTAAGCTTTTCAATTGAATTTATAGGTATGGCTACCCTTAGTAATGTTTACATCTATAATGCGCTATAATGCCACTATAGTGCCTCTATAATGCGATTCTTCTGAATCTGCAGATTTCAGGTTTTCAAAACGAAAACTTACGTATATTCCAAAGAACGCCACCTAGCGATTGCCAGCAGAGAGCTGCGTTGATGTGGCAACACTGGCACAGTGCTGCCATCTGCTCTGTGCTCTGCCAATGCGCAGTCGCGCTTCAAGGCACCGAGTCGAGTTGCAATCCGAAAGCGAATATGGATGGCAATATTTCGTTGGGTTCAGCTCAACGCTCTCGACGACGGGCACTCGGCAAGGGTAAGTCAGCTAGGCTTGTTGGGCTCTATTTTTTGACTACACAACTGTGTGCGTGTGTGTGTGTGTGTGTGTGTTTGCTATTGTTTGTTTCGTTTTTACTGCGCGTTTTTCCGTGCCAGCTTTTCACAGCGTCGACTCTCTTTGTGTGTGTGTGTGTGTGTGTGTGCTGGTGGATTTTCGCTTTTCGGCTTGATAGTGACATTGCTCGGCTCGACCCGCTGCCAAGTTAGCTTTTGGAGGCTACCATCGCCGTGGCTCTGGTGGTGGAATTTCAGTTGCAGCCCAAGCGCCAGCAGCGCCAGCCAAAACAATAAGCACTTTTTTTAATACTAACTATTTCGGCTGCCAAGTTGAAAATTATAAACAAAATGTGGTGGCTCGAGTAAAGCAAAAATAGAAAAAACAATCAACAACAATAACGTGCATTGATTTGCAACAAAACCGAAAGAACAAAAAAAAAAAAAAAAAAACATTTACAAATAAACAAAGGCAAACAGAAGAATGTTTTCAAGTGAAAAGAACGCACAACTTTAACTTAGCTATAAGTAGTTATTCATAAAGAGCAATAACAAACAACAACAGCAACAACAACAACAAGAGAAGCGAACGGCAGCAACAGTGAAAGAAAAAATTCATTGCATCTATTCAGGCGCATAAGGAAAATGAGCGCAAAGGTAGGCCAAGAGCGCGCGCTCCTCTCCCCACTCTCCATGTGTGTGTGTCTGTGTGTGTGTGTGTGTGTGTGTGTGTGTGTGTGTGTGTGTGTTGCCATGCTTATTGCAGTAGCAACGCTGCTGTTGGCCAAATGGCTTGCGTTTTCTTAATTGTCTAAATGAATTTATGACAAATGCAAAATTCTTAATTGACTTGGCCAATTCAATTTGCATTGCACTAGCTAGCCACGCCCCCTCTAGCTAGCCGCCGCTGACTTCACCTTGTTGCTCCTGCAAACGCCACCCACTTCCCTGCCTGGAGCCAACATGTGGTACATACATAAATTGCAAGTCCTGCACTGGGACTGGAGCCTGTCGAAAATTTGAGCCAAGACATATGTCTAACATATGTCAGACAATTCAAAGAGCGAGAGAGAGAGAGGAGAGAGAGGAGGAGAGAGAGAGAGAGTGGGACAGTGGGAGAGTGTGAGCGGGACACTGAATGAGCTTTGCTGGAGGGAGTGAGAGCGAGAGAGAGAGAGAGAGAGAGCTAGGATTGTATTGGATATCCAGCAGAGTTCAAGTTGTTCGAAATGCAATTTGGCGCATGAACAGCTGCTGCTGCTGTGGTGGGAATAGCAATTCAAATCTTGAGCACTAGAAGCCACACCGAGCAAGCGAATCGGCTAACATATTATATATAGTATGTGTATGTACACATACATATATAAAACATGTTCATATTTTGCGCAGCTCAGTAAATTCCATACATTAATCTGTTTTAATACTCTGCCTGGCTCTCGCTCCCTCTCTCTATGTATGTTAGGACTAAGGGACACTAATGCATGTGCTGCTATATACACATATACATATGTACTATATATATGTATGTACTATATCTATATACATATATTTTAGCCTTAGTTTCCTTACTAGTTTGCCCACATCTTTGGCAATATTTATAGAATTTGCAGCAGCTTTTCGACATAAACATTTCAATTTTATTTGCAATTTCGGTTTTCAAGCTCAAAATAGATTTTTATACCCTGAACCCATTGAAAATGGGAAATTAGGGTATAATGATTTTGTGAAAAAGTATGTAACGGGCAGAAGGAGGCGTGGCAGACTCCACAAAGTATATATATTCTTGATCAGCGCGACGAGCTGAGTCGATATAGCCCTGTCCGTCTGTCTGTCCGTCCGTCCGTCCGTCCGTATGAGTGCGTCGATCTCAGAAGTTACATGAGCTAGAGAGCTGAAATTTGGCATGCATACTCGTGTGTACCATACGCAGTACGAGTTTGCTTTATTTTTTCGATAAAACATCCGATAACTTTTTTATCGAGAATAATCGAAAAATTGATTTTGTTTTTTCAGCCTCATTAGAATACTATTAGACCTGGAGACTTCAAATTTGCGTTGTATATAAAGTTAATGGATACAAAGATTTTGTAATTTACACATTTTGGATACCACGCCCCTTCGCCCCCAATTTGTAAAAAACGCATTTCAAATACTAGGGATTTGTGCTTTGAACATTATGATTACGTTCTGAAAGTTTCATTAAGATTGTGCGTCTAGAAATTAAATTATTTAACAAATAAATTCGTATAATATTGCCCACATTGCAGCGCAGCCCAAGCGCAGTCGCTGCTTACTGCGCTGTCAGCAGAGCGCGTTGTTATACGTGCGTCTGGATGCATGTGTATGTATGTGTGCATAGAAGAAGTGCAGAATGATTAGAATATCAGCTTGGAGGGTTCAGGGTATCTCCTAGTCGAGAAGTCTCGACTAGAGCCTTCTTACTTGTTTTTTTTTTTTTTTTGCAATTTTTGAAATTGTTTTGAAATGATTTTTACACATTTCTTGGTATTCAGCGGTTTTGTATAAACAAAATAAAACTTTGATTGATGGAGTGATTATTGTACAGCTTTTGAGCTAAAGTATTTCGAATTATTAGAATTGTTGACTCTTGGGGCAGCCTGAAGATTTAAGATATTGCGTAGATTAATTGTAGGTAAATCAATTTGATTGATTGATTGCAAACTTCTCTGATATGTAAACAGATTTTCCGCACACTAGCAAAAGGAAAAGCAATGGATATACGGAACGGCATGATTTGATTGGTGTGAAAGAAGTCTATTTGAGTTGAGTTGCTGGAGAAATAAGTCTAGAAATACCCATAAATTGGGCTTTACGGAAACCAGATCTGAATGGATACCACTTTTAATAACGATTGAGCTCTAGATAGACCTCTAATTCCTATGAGTCGGCAAAGTGTGCAAATTATTGATATGTTAATCAAGTCAATTCGCTTGTGAAACTTGAGCGGCTATCAAGCAGTCGGTTAAGCTCGACGTCAACGATCTGCTCTTGTTGAGGATGCATATACATATATATCATAATAAATATAATATATGTGCACATATATCTCTGCAGCGCTGAAGATGCTCAGCAAGTGCTGCGCGGGAATTATAACTTAAATTATTCACTTCCGCTGCAAGACTTTTTCATTGGACCGAGTCTCAAATTCCAATTTCTAAATTCCAAATTTCTGGCCAGCGAATTTCAATTGAATTTCTGTTTACATTCAACATTTCGCATCGGCTCTGTTTACCGAGCAGCGTCAAGCTCTGGGCAAATATAGCTGCCAAAGGCCCGGTTCGACATATGTAAGCCTGTCGTCTCACTGCCGCCCCGCCCACACCCCCTGCGGGGCGGAAAAACAAAACAAAGCAAAACGAAACGCGCAAAAAAGGAAAACTGCGCAACAGTTTTCATTTGGCTGATGGCGTCGCCGATAAATGGCATATTGTAAGTGAGTGACTGTGTAAATACAGTAGAGACTGCCTAAGTGAGCATGCAAATGGAATTTTCGCTTTGCTTGCCTGAGAACATGCTCTTCTATGCAATTCTCATTACTCGAACGCAACCCTGAATTGTTTTGAGCGGGGTTTGTCGTCTTTTAGTGTTAAAATGGGAAATTTGTATTATTACAGATATGACTATAGGTTAATATTATAAATATTTTAACTGATAACAATATTGAATATTTGCAATCTAATAATCTCTAGTAAAGCTATTATTAATATACCTATTAGATGTCTTTTGATGGAATTCCAGCTGGAAATACCCTAATGTGTTCCACTTACACTATAACGAGCTTTTTATAATAATTGATCGACTTTCTCGATTAAATCTACATTGTTATCTATTTTTTTGTTTGCTCCAAGAGGCCTACCTATGAAATATTGGCATTCTTTTTGTACGATTCTAGCACATACAGATTATAACCGATAATAGAGCTTCTATGCTTAACTTTCAAGATAAAAGTGTCTAAATTTTAATTAATATCTATTTCTTTCGTGTTTGACATGCCCTAATGGGTATAGGAAAGAAATCGTTTCACTATAAAGCCTAAGAGTAAATATAGGAAGAGTATAAATTTCACATATAAAATCCTTATCATCGTGCATTGCATAAAACTAATATGCTCTCTTAACTATTTTAGCGAGTATGATTCAAACTGTTTGCCAATTGTTAATCAGCTCAACAGCCACTGTGTTCGTCTCATGGGAGTGTTCACTGTAATACTGCTGTCCTGTCCAGTGTGTGCGTGCGCGTGTCTGATGATATGATAAATCTATGTAATTATTGGACATAAATCTATTTACTTGCCACACCAAACCCTGTCATTACGGATATATGTATATACATATGTACATATATAGATATAGATATACATAGATATAGATATAGTTATATATAATAATTATCTTTGTGTATTTGAGTGTTCGGGCTCGGATTTTGTAAATATTAGCCGAGTGCTCAGATATGCCAGATATAAGCAATTGACGCACCCCAGATATAGATGAGATATACGCTTCAATTGCCAATGGGCAATAACAATGATTATTTTGCGTTCGATCGATTGACAAAAATTCCTTCGAGTTAACAAAACAACAAATAATAATCGAGTTGAGCAGAGAAGGGTAGAGCACTCACACACACACACACACACACACACACACACACACACCCACATGTGATGTGTATGTGGTTACAAGAATTGAGTCAATTAATTTGTTTATAGTGCAAAATCATTTGAATGCCAGCAACGAAACGATGAGCCTCTATGGCTCCAGATATATTTCGGCTATATAGCAACGGGGTAGCCGACATCGGCACTTGGCATCGGTTGCCATCGGCTCCGGCTACATCTACGGCACTTGGCATCGGCGTCGCTTTAGCTATAGGGCCTCAGTGTTCATTCAGTGTATATTCGACGGTCATGGGATGAACATCGGATATCGTGCATACGCGTTATCTCTGGCGCCCCTTACAACATTTCTACACGCACACACACACGCACACTCTCATTCACTCTCACTCTCTCTCTTTCTCACTCACACTCTCATTTGCTGTCTCTCTCAGAGCAAGTTGTAGGCGCGCGCCCTGCAAATAAACAACAACACTGAAAGAAAAAAGTCCAATAAAAAACCAAAACAAAACGACTGAAATAAAACAAAACAAAACTGAAGAAGAAGAAGAGCTAAGAAAATATTGTATTCAATTTATTTGCGTTGGCAAATTTGTTGCTGCCTTTGCCTAATTGCCCAAACATGTGGCTCACCGATTGCGGCACGGTAGGTGTGAGCTCTGCCTCTCTAAGTGTGTGTGTGTGTGTGTCCGTGTGTGACTGTGTGTGTGTGCCCAAATATGTGGCTTATCGCTGCACTGAGGACAATTGCAAATGGGTATTCAGTTTTTATGGACCTGAACTTGTAGCAATAAAATCGTAAGCAATTTATATCCAGATTGCCCAATATATATATGTATATATATATATATATATAAATGTATATATATGTGAATAAAAAAAGAATAGACGAATACTTTATTGGTGGCCATTGTACTGTTTTTTTTTCTTTTGTAATTTATAGGCATTATAAAAATATATTATATGCACTATATATCAAACATTTGCTTAATAAGTTGCACATATGTACGTACAGCTGTGGTCATAAAAACTTTAGTGGAACTGAGCTGGATAGCAAAATTTAATGTCTAAGTAACTTAATATCGATAGCTAGATTATTAACAATTAATTAATAATTTCTAAGTATATTAATTGTAATAGTCGTTTCAAAATTTGTTTAAATTAAGTTCAAATTTAAATTCAATATTGAGTTCATAAATTTATTTTTTATTAATATTATTCTTTTTTTTTGTTATTTCTTTTTTATTTGTCCTATAGATTTATTAAATTTTTTAATATTTTTTTAAATTTTTTTATTTTTGTATATGGATTATTTCTCCCAATTATATTTATTATTATTTTATATTTTATATTTTATATAGCACTTGATTAGCTCTATAATTGGTGCGTTTTCAAGATAATTACAGAGAATCTGAGGTATTCACACGCTAAGTATAATTTTTTTGAGAAAAATGTCGTTACATATATTGAAATTTCATTTAACTTTATTATCATGTTTTTATTGCCCTTCAAATAATTTGTAATATCAGTTCTCCATTTAATTAAATATCAAAGATTCTCAATTTTTGTATTCCAATTTTCAACTTGGGCAAACGCAGCTAACTTAACGCTCTTGAGTTTTTATATCACTGTCAATTTCAATTTTTAATTTTTACACTGAAAATATTGGATACATATAATATTACACATAAATAATATTACATTATATAAAATACAATATATAAAATTTCGTATGAAATATTTCCGATTTAATATGTGAGTAACTAGACTAAGCACTTGATACATGCACATTGTAGCCATAGAGCAATAACATAATCATAGTAACTGCAGTCATTACTTAATTACAATTAAAATTGTTCTGGACGTTAGGACTCGACTGGCAAATACCCTGACCAAAGTGTGTTGCCTTTTGAACAGACACTCCTTTTCGATCATGGGAGTATAAGGGCAGATTTACTTATAAATATATCAAGTGGATCAATATTAGACGATATGTACTAAATTTGGTCAACTTAATTCATTAAATGTGTATAATATGCTCTAATAACTTTTGATTGATATAGGTTTAAACTTTAAAGAGTTTTTCGGACTATGGAAACAGTTGATGATTGAGTACAAACTAACTAACATAACTAACATAACTAACATAACTAATATACCCTCTGTGGTGATTCCAAGTGTGTGCGGGGTATACTAATGATGCTTCAGACGATAATTACAACATTGCTTGAGTTAATATTAGCGGAATGTATATAAATGAGTCGATGCATATGCACTTACGTCCCTCCTTGTACTACTGTACTATATATTAAAGAGTGAACCATAGTTGACGGCAGTTGCAGCAAGATTTTACTGTATGCCATAGTTAATAATTATCAGAGGAGGATTGCTAAAGAAGAACTTGAAAGAATATATAATTGGACACCCATCTCTCAATCTATATACATATATATGTATATATGTATATACATCTGAGTATATGCACATCTGTTTATCCCGTCTGCTGTCAGCACTTTCTTTTCATATGCAAAATACCTCAAGACACTGAAAAAAGGGTTGACACGACTTACATTACATATGCACATACATATGTACATATGTATATATATATATATACATATGTATATAACCCATATCTAAATATGTAAGAACTGAAAATGCCAAAGCAGAACATTCGAGCTATTGACACGGCAGTGTGTTCACACGCACATACCCATACATATACAGATCTAAATATATAGGTGGCAAAAGAAAAGTGAGAACTGAGATATGCACAGCAGATAGAATACATAGAGAGCAGCATTTCAAAGAGGCGACCCTCGACGTTGTAGTGCCGGCGCCAGTTGGTAGATAAGACCAGCCATTATCAGATGTACTACAGTAAACAACAACAAACAAACACTCGAGCTCTGCGCTGGCCAATTAGCTAGGTACACTGCGCAATGTAGGCTAATTAGATTTTCGCATATTTATCCAATGGGTAATTCAAATCTGTGCACCTCTGCAGGTAAACATTTGTATACGCTTACACTCGTCTACTGTATGAGCAGAGTTGATTGGCTTTGTTTGTCTTGCGATTTCATTGAAGAGGGAAATATTGTATAAAATGCTGAATATTGATAGAAGTTTATTTTATCTATGTTCGATTATCTATGTATTATTACATTAAGTATTATATTTATGTTTTGCAAATACTTCTGCCTTCGACTTACTAGTATTAGGAATTTGTGATTTGATTAGGGGCTGAGAAAATTGGGACTTAACAAGTTTAAAAGACTTAATAAGAGAGAGGGGTTTCAGATTTGACGTTGAAAATGTTTAATTTTACAGAGACATAAAATATACATATATATACACGTCTTTTAAGGATGTTACAGATCTTCCATCTCAATCCGTTTTAAAGCTAGGTTCAGCGGGGGTATTCCTGTTGAGTTGCTTCATAAATTGGAGCGATTCTACTGACTTCTAGATCCCATGGGTTCGACTTTATCTATCGAGAGATGCAGCCTCATTATATAGAAAGATGGTGATCTATTGAGCAAAGGTCACATCTTTCATAATGCTAGAGATCAGTCTGACTAATAGATCCAGATATAAAGTGCAGTAAAATCATGCATGTGTTGAGCTGTTCTATAGATAAATCAGATAATCATATAGCTCGGTAGTAAAGCTTATAAAAATTTACCTGTTTTACAGATAGAGTGCTCCAAAAGTGTTGCACATTGAGACCCAGATCTTATGTGTAAAATACTGTTGAGGTGCTCTACGGTTATACCCAGAATTTAGTGGAAAGTTTTATGTAATATTAGAGAAAAATCTTGGATACATTATAGAATATAGCTGATCCACAGATTGAACCAGATACTATATAGCTCTGATAATTTGAATACATTTAATTTTGGCTTTGCTACGCCTCTTCTCTATACAAATTTGAGTCGATTAAGCTGTACTTGACTTAGTTTTGTGGTGCCCTTAGATTTATTTGATATTCCCACGAAAAAGTGCATTAATCAAGTACATTTGTTTACAAGTTCTTCAATTTCAAGTTGATTATATGTTATGCATATCCGGCCGTGAATGCCAGCTGATGCTGAGATCTCGGCTCGACTTGCAATTTGCATGCGGATAATAATGGACTTCAATGCGCTCCCATCCGACTGTGGCCAGATGGCGATACAGTTCAGGCGCGCGTGCACCAAAATAATTCGGATTATACATACATACATATATATATATATATATATATATATATATATATATATAGTGGCTAATCGAGCGGCATTGTGTTGTTAATATTGTGTGCTGATCTGTTTTGTGGTCTCTGCTTTGCATCTTACAGATGACACGCTACAAACAGACCGAATTTACGGAAGATGATTCAAGTTCAATTGGCGGCATTCAGCTTAACGAGGCGACCGGCCACACCGGCATGCAGATACGCTATCACACGGCGCGGGTGAGTACAGACACACACACACACACACACACACACACACACACGCACACACACACACGATACACATGATACACATTCATATGGTCAGCCGGCAGCGAAAGCAATGCCATAATTTATCCACACATCGTCCCTCACCCTCTCTGTCGCACTGCCTGTCTTTCTCCATCTCTTTCGCTGGCAATGACCCAAAAGCAGCGTCCGAGATTTGATTAGCTTGAAGGTTACGACTGCTCGCATCGTAGATGTATGAGAGACTCGCAAATTTGAATGCCGCACTCTAGAGCGGCTCTTCAAAGCATTTACAGTTTCTCATTTTACAGTTGTAAAAATAACTAAATACCTCTCATATAAATTACATACAATGGCTTAGAGGTTAGGCTGAAGGAAGATCTTTGAGCAAACCTGATTAACTTTTCAATACGAATGGTCCTAAGAGAATATATATATGTGATTAACTCTCTATGGTATATATATAAAATATATAGAATACAAATCTTTTCAAATTTTTGATAAATTATTCAATTTTCTGTTCAGCTCTGATCACTTATAATCGGAAAAGGAATTTAGTTCCCTTTAGCTCTATTCCAGCAAGTCTATTGCATGGAATTCTAAAAATATTTCAAATGTAAAGTAGGTTAATTATATATATTTACGAATTTTATGATTGTAAATTTTCTTCAAAATAAAAGACGTTGAGCTCCTTCCAGTCTGCTTCCAGTTTAACTATTCTATTGAATTCTAATTGGAAAAGTTTTACATATATTTTGATCAAAATAGTTTCATTATCAACAAGAATATATATATATTTTTTTGGGGTCTGCCACGCCTCCTTCTGCCTGTTTCATACATTTCAACAAAACTATTATACCCTGATTTCCTATTTTCAATGGGTTCAGGGATCAAAATTTACTTTTCTGTACCTCTGATCAGTCATAATTGGAAATTTTCTTTAAAAGGAATGAGTTAGGGCTTCTTCTCGCCCTAATTGAAATTCTCAAATTTTTATCAAAATAATTTTAACATCCCAAATATTCCCTTACATTAGGCCACCTGGAATTGGCGTTCGAGAAATAAGACCGAAAAATGGCTGCTGATCACAACTTTTGTGATGACTATTGTCATCTTAACGCTGCTCACCATGATACTATCGAATAGTTCCGATAATACCAATCACGTAGTGCACGTTCAGCCACATAAGAAGGGTAAGTATTTGGATAACAAAGATACTCTTGAAAAGACAAAACATTTCATAAAAAAAAAAATTATATATATATATATATATAATAGTATATATACTTAGAAACTACATATGTATATAGTCTCTATATAGTTGTATTTACATGTAGCGTGTATATAATTTCAGATTGCTTGACGGCGGATGAGTTGCCCTGCCTGAACGAGCACTGCATCTTTGCGTCGAGCGAGATTTTGAAGTCCATAGATGCGAGCATCGATCCCTGCGATGACTTCTATGGCTATGCTTGGTAGGAATAGCTGTCGTAGCTCGTAGTACAAATGTATAACAATCCTTGCTTCAATCCTTCGCAGCAATCAATGGATCAAAAACAATCCCATACCGGAGGGCAAGTCCACCTGGGGCACATTTGGCAAGCTGGAGCAGATGAATCAGCTGATCATTCGTAACGTGCTGGAGAAGCCAGCGAAGACGTTCAAGTCGGAGGCGGAGCGCAAGGCCAAGGTCTACTATGAGTCCTGCCTGGATGTGGATGAGCACATGGAGAAACTGGGCGCCAAGCCAATGATCGATCTGCTGAAGCAAATCGGTGGCTGGAACGTGACGCAGACCGGCTTCAATGTGACCAACTGGAAGCTGGGCAATACCCTGAAAATACTGCACAACAAGTGGGTTGGCCCGGACCTTCCGATATACCCATTATGAAATATCCTAACTCGATCTTCTTGCAGATATAATTTCAATTGCCTCTTTGGCTGGGCCATTGGGGAGGATGACAAGAACTCGACCCGCCATGTCATACAGATCGATCAGGGCGGTCTGACCTTGCCCACCGCCGACTACTACAACAATAAGACGGACATCCATCGCAAGGTGCTCAGCGAGTACATCGAGTACATGACCAAGGTATGTGTGCTCCTGGGCGCCAACGAGACCACAGCACGCATCCAGATGGAGGCGGTGATCAATTTTGAGAAGAAGCTAGCCAACATCACCATCCCGATGGAGGAGCGACGCAACGAGGAGGCCATGTATCATCCCATGAAGCTCAAGGATCTCATTAAGCTGGCGCCATTCCTCAACTGGACGGATCACTTCGACAATGCCTTGCAAATGGTGAACAGGCGCGTCACCGATGAGGAAATTGTCGTCGTCTATGCGCCCGATTTTCTCAAGAACCTCTCCAACATCATCCTGAACATGCAAAAAACGGATGCGGGCAAAATGTAAATATATATGTATTTCTTTTGTTTCTATTATTTCCCATTTTTGAGCATTAACAGTGGAACTAGTTATGGGAACATTTTATGGAAGGGACCAATTAAAAGCTATGGCTAGTTATATAATTACTGAATCATTTTAGTATATTACTCGTTACTAGAATGTCCTTCAGCATACTATATTTATTAATTTACAAAGACTTTTCTAAATGGGATTTAGAATAGCTTGAGTGACATAATAATATCAGATATACAATATAAAGGGTATGTGTACACAGTCAACAGACTAACTTGAGATAATCTTACTGTTAGGCAAATGTTAGTCACTGCTAGTTAACATAAAGCTAGTTTCACATATGTATCTCTTGTATGTATGCTAGTTTAACAGCTCAGAAATCTGTAAAAGTTGGCCCTTTCTCGATGTCTGCTAATACATACAACTGTTGCTGAGTGCGAGCGAAATGGCGGACGAAGAGAAGCAACTAGAAATTGACAATGTAAAAACAGCTCCACGGCAATTCAGTATTGAGCATTGCTGGTACATGTATAGCTGTTAACCGTTTTTCGATGTCTGCAAATCAGTATCGTTTACCTACATTCCGAAAAAAATTTCAGAGAGCAACCGATTGCATCGGTTCTCACTCGAGTTCGGTTAACAACCGTTTTGTTGTTGTTTTGTTTCGCACTCGTTGTTCGCTGTCCGTTTGGTTGAGTGGAAACTAAGCTAAAAGTCTTGTATGTGTGTATATGTGTATGCATTAGCATCACGATTGAGTGATAGTGTCTTTTAACACTTCTCTACGTAAATTGAGCGTGTTTTGTGCGCTTGCATTGAGTTATTTCTACACTTACGAAAGTTAATCGTATTGAGTGTGTTTTGTGTGCCACACGAATAGTTTCAGTCAAGCCTCTCAACGAATATAACAGAAGCTGCTTGCTCAGAGCAAGAGCGAGTCAGCATTATATTTTTCGATTGAGCTCGCGAACCGGGTATAAGGAGTCAAGCGGTTAACAGTTATTTGCAATGTTTAGTTTAACATTTTCTGATTGAAAACAAATTCCGCTCTTGCAGCACGCTGAACAACTATCTGATTTGGCAGGCGGTGCGCACGCTGACCAGCTGCTTGTCGAAGCCCTTCCGGGATGCGTACAAGGGCGTGCGCAAGGCGCTGATGGGCTCCGATGGCGGCGAGGAGGTCTGGCGCTATTGCGTCTCTGATACGAACAATGTGATTGGTTTTGCCGTGGGCGCGATATTCGTGCGTCAGGCATTCCATGGCGTGTCCAAGCCAGCGGCGGAGCAAATGATTGGCGAGATACGTGAGGCCTTCAAAATGAATCTACAGAACCTCAGCTGGGTGGACAAGCAGACGCGCGAGCGCGCCATTGAGAAGGCCAACGAGATCTCAGATATGATCGGCTTTCCCGACTACATCCTCAACTCCGAGGAGCTGGACAAGAAGTATGAGGAGCTGAATATCACAGCGAATGCGTACTTCGAGAACAACATCCAGGTGGCCATCTACAATCTGAAGAGCAATCTGAAGCGACTGGACCAGCCGGTGAATAAGACCAATTGGGGCATGACACCGCAAACGGTGAATGCCTACTATACGCCCACCAAGAATCAAATCGTCTTTCCCGCCGGCATCCTGCAAACGCCCTTCTTCGACATCAACAACCCCAAAAGCCTGAACTTTGGCGCCATGGGCGTGGTCATGGGCCACGAGCTGACCCATGCCTTCGACGATCAGGGCCGGGAGTACGATAAGTTCGGCAACATCAATCGATGGTGGGATGCCAAGAGCATCGAACGCTTCAATGAGAAGGCCGAGTGCATTGCCAACCAGTACAGTGGCTACAAGCTCAACGGACGCAATCTGAACGGCAAGCAGACATTGGGTGAGTCGATAATGTGCAGTGTCTAGCTCGAAGTGCTACAACTGAAAATGTCTTCCATTCCATAGGTGAGAACATAGCCGACAATGGTGGCTTGAAGGCTGCCTATCATGCCTATATGAAGACCAAGCTCGATAAGAATGCGGACGTTCTGAAGCTGCCCGGCCTGAACTTGACGCATCCCCAACTCTTCTTCGTCTCCTTTGCACAGGTGAGTGCTGATATATATTTAGCTGATGTATTGGATATAAATGTGATGGTATCATTAGGTCTGGTGCTCCAGCACCACAGATGAGACCAATTTGCTGCAAATGGAAAAGGATCCCCACTCGCCTTCACAGTTCCGGGTCATTGGCACACTGTCCAACATGAAGGAGTTCGCCGATGTCTTCAACTGCAAGGCCGACACTCGCATGAATCCGACCAAGAAGTGTGAAGTCTGGTAAAGCGATCAATTCGAAACTCAGATCTCACAATCTATTTTCCCACACACACACACAAACGAGACAAGTTGAAATATCAAAGAGAAGAATTTTACAAACCGCCAAACAAAGAAGAAAAACTAATAACAACACCAACTACTACTCGCAAAGGCAATGTTTGATTGTCCATGTAGCATAGAGAGCTATTTCGTTACGAATGTGTGCTAAATGTCCTTTCGTTGTCAATCGATGGGCCTGCAAAGTGATGAGAGAGCCCAAGGAATCCCAAGAATTGTAAAAGTCTATTCAAGCCCTTTGTGGGATCTGTCATAATTCCATATATGCCAGATGTATGATGTATGTAGTGGCTTACAGGTCCATTCACTAGTTATATAGTCGAAGGCCATCTACTGCCATAAATTGAATTGAACTTATATATAAAGTTTTTGGAGATGTGAGCGCATGACAGATCATATAAAATTTGAATATGCTTGATCAGAATGATGAGCTGAGTGGGTTTTATAATATCTATCTTATTACAACTATAAATATCCGATTCATAAGCACAGTCCGAGGTATCGCCTAGTCGGTTTCTCCCCACTCGAGTATTATTATTTTTTTTTTTTTTTTTTTTTTTTTTTTTTATACAATTCAATTCAATTGTTGCAGCTTAACGTCTTAGATTCTATGACTAACTAGTGAGTGGGCCTGTAACTCAGCATCTGCATCTTAGATCCACACTTCATGCTACCTTTTTCCATTCGACAATACTTCATGTTCCTTGGGTTACCCTCTAGTCCACAGTTTGATAAATATTCCTAGAGTTCGTCTGTAGCTCGATGTGAACTGAATCTGTTTCGCGACTGTGGCAATTGCTAGATCCCCATCTAACCCGGAGATCCTCACAAAACAAGACAGCCCCAATTCATTCTCAAAGCACTTGGATGGAGATATTCCTCATAGTGAGGTTGCAACTACAATAACCTAACTATTCTCGGCTTTGATTATCGAATTCCCTGGGACTCTTTTAGTTTACTGTAGCTCTGATAAGAGATATATAGAGATTTCAAATACTTTGCAAGCCCATATATACGATTCTTGCGGCTAGCCGTGGTCAATTTTGATTTGTATTATTTAGTACTAAAGATAGAAGAAAAACAAAAAACAAAAACAAAAACGTCAGTCATTGTGCCTAAGGAAATGTGAAAGATAATCTGACGATAAACAACCTATTGCATACTTTTGGGAACGGGCGCTGAATCGACTTTAAGCCGAGCCGGCGCCAGAGCCGAGACTTAAATGAAGAGCGAAAAGAGAAACAAGAGAAACTTTTTTAAATTGCGCATTACGAACAATATCTATAGTGGAAATTACTTCGTCTTTGTCCTAAGTTACCTATAAAAATAATATATAATATAAATAATATATAAATAAATGTATGTATGTAGTAGATATAAAAGAATTTGTAAACCACAAACAGTCGAGATAACGACATAACTAGCTATGGATGGAGTTGTGTGTTCTATATAAACTTAGTTAAGTGAGATTACTACGCAAAGATTTAGTGAACGATATTTGCGAGTGATCGATAACAGAATGAAAAAAAAAAGAAAACAGAAAACAAGAAGAACACAAATCACAGAATATCCAAAGATTTATATAAACTATATTTAGATGATTATCAGAGCACAAATATGTGTGAACCAAAGTTTTTCCAAAAACTAAGCTTTCTATGCAAGTGTGCATGTGGGTGTGCGTGTGAATGAGCATGAATGCGTGTGCGTGTGAGTGCAAGCGAGATAGAGAGCGCACATATTTGGTGCAGTTATTTCTGCCTTTTCGTTGCCAAACTCTAAAGTGCGAACAATATACCAAAAAAACGAAGAAGAAGAAGAAAAAAAAAAAAACGAATACACTTTTGTATTGTGTGTATAAATATATGAAATATACCAAATATACTAAATATACTAAATATTCTAAATATACATATAACTAAATGTAGATTGAAATTAGTTTCAGAAATAGCGGGAAACATAAAACAATTTTTTTTTGTGGCTAGAAAAAGTTCTAAATATATAAGTAAATAAGAAAATTAAATATATAGTATGTATATATGATATATACTAAACAAATGTTCAGTTCTGTTATATTTTGCTTTTGTGTTTGTTTCTTTTTATTTTATTTTATTTATTTTTTTTGAAGATCGTATATCAAATGTGACCATAGAAGAACTCCAATCAAATGCAGCTGCATTTTAGCCTAGATCGAAATATTGAAATATAGAACATGAGAATCACGGAGAACGCATTTGCCACATATCAAATCTCAAGTGAATACGTACTAGAATGATATGTGTGCTTAGTATTATACATGACATAACAATATCGAACAGTATATATACATATGTACAAACGGGTATATATATTGCACAATGAGAACACCAAATGTATGGAATTTATTTAAAACTCCTTCAACTGTCAGATAGTTAGATATTCCAAGTTGTAAGATATCTCTAACATATACATGCATCCGATGGCATTTTTTTCAGAGCCATCAAGTCGAAATACATATATGAAATAAATGTAATATGCTAAACGGTACCAAGTCACATATTTCTTAGCTATAATACACAATAGGTAACTATAATTCGAATAGATATATATATACATATATATATGAGTATATCTATCTATATACATATAGACATATAAATAATAGATGTTTGCCGAGATCTGTCTTAATTCAACAATCGCTAGGATGAAATTGTCTATGTGACTTGCACAAATATATCGATAACTTGCATTTGTTTGAACATTTATCTTTTTTTTTTTTTTTATATAATAATTATATTTCTATACAGATATATAAATAAATATATTCAAAACTAAAAACGAATGCATTTAAAACATTCATTATGATCTTGTATGGTTTTCCCTTTGTTGAGAGTGAATCAGTTTACAGTTTTTACATGATGTAACTAAGTAAATGCATACATACATACATCTACATTGGATGAAATCGTAATGATTCTATTATTATATATATTATATATATTTACATACAATACATACCCACATGCTTGTACGTGTGTATGCCGAGATGCAAACAAATTATTTTTATTGTCAATGAAAAATGAATAAACAAATTAAATAATATTGTATACATATGAATGCGAAATAAATTCAATAACTGAGTGTGAAATGCAATTTTATTACTGCCCCAACAACAACAACAACAACAACTATGATATAAAAATGCACACGTTATATGTGTATGGCTCATATATGTATGTATTATGTTGCCCTTATAATCATTTCATATGCTACTCTGATACTATACTTCATATACCCATATGCGAGGTCTGTTCAAAAAGTATCTTGAATCTACGACAATGGAAAAACAGGGTATATCCACTTGGTTAAAATGCATGTAACAGGCAGAAGGAGGCGCGGCAGACCCAAATAAAGTTTATCAGGATGATCAGTTGGGTTGATCTAGCTATAAGACCTGGAGAGCGAGATCCTATGTGCGTGTGTGTGTGTATGTGTATGTATTGTCTGCTATGTAGACAAGAGATGGATGATTGGAATATAAGTGCCTTGAAGACGCCAGGGCATCTCGTAGTCGAGCATTCTCGACTAGAGCACTCTTCACTGCCTGTAGCCAAGTTTGGGTACTCATAGCACCCATTTATGACGACGAATTCGGGCTCTTTAAACGTTCAGCTCATTTTTGGCAGTCATTTTGTTAGACTCGTTCTCGCTTTTGCCTATTCCAAATAATAAAGCAATGAAGCTGTATCAAATTTGTTTTTTTTTTTTTTTTTATTTTATTTTATTTTTTATTTTTGGCTAAAGCAACTCACTAATGATGTCGCAGCTCACGCATGCCGCTGACTTGGCCGCCGTTGACCTTTTCGCGGTCCCCAAACCAAAAAAGGCTATGAAAGGACGTTGCTACGCTACGATTGAGCAGATAAAGACGTCAGTGCAGTAGAAAGCGAAGAGGATTACAAGCAATGACTTTTCGAATATTGGTAAAAGAAAACCTTGGGCCAAGCTTGTTATGGATTACTCTGACGGGCGCAAAATAAATAAATTCCCAGAAATAAATCAATAATTTTCACAGCAAATACAAAATTCGCAATACTTTTCAAGCAAACCTCGTCTATTTTCATTTTGGTTGTAAATCACAATTAACTAGGTCGATTGCATCTCTCGTATATACATACATATATATATGTAGTATGCACATTCGTATTTTTGGTTGAGGTAGCTTTTAGTCGAGCATACCCGACTTGTTCTCTACTATTATTATTATTCATAGATTTCTTGAACTATATGCCTCTGATTTGTTAGCTGAACATTGTTATTATTATAATGTGCCGAGTGCAGGGTATACTTAAGTTTGGCATAGTTATTTAGCTGCGAGAGAGAGAGAGAGAGCCGTTTGTGACTTGGGCCCATATTAAATTACTTAAAGTGGTCGAGCCTTGATTTTGGGGACAAAAAGTTCTAATAAAAAAAGCGCAAACAAGCAATCACACTCATAAAAGCACACACACACACACACACTAGCACACACACACACACACACTTAAATAGAAAATGCCTGCAAATTGCTTACATAATAAATAATAATAATAGCGTGCGATTTTTGGCGCAATTTAAATTTATTTATGGCGCTTGTTGTGGCTGCCCGCTGCCCCCCCTGGACGCCACTGGACGCTCAGCTCAGACGTGGCATGCGTCATGTCGTCTGCATGCACACACACACACATATATATATGTATAGGTGGAGCTGTGCTACCTGGCAGCGAAATGTGCCATTGCCATCGATTTCAAGTTGATGTCAGCCGGACGGCTTTTGGTTTCGGGCGTATCTTCTATTCTTATCATTGCGGCTGATCCTGGTCGCCCGGCAACGTGCACAAATAACATTTAATCTGCTTAACTAGGCGGCGCTGGAGCACTGGCAGAGCAGGAGCCAGGAAAGGCAGCTAGATTGGTGTCTCTGTGCCCGCTTCCTGCCTTATCGCCTTTGCCCACAGAGGGGGCGGGGTGGGGGCTGGAGTTAGGCGGAGCAATTGGCTGTCAACCCAAATTGTAATTATACAAGGCGCACTTAGTGCCAGCAGCAAACTCACTCGGCTCGTTTATGATGTCAGTGCCGAGAAACCAATTGCCAATTTGTTTACTTTTATTTCACATTCCCCACTAAAGTTGCCTCCATTAATTTGCCTTCATTTGCATTTGATTTTCATTTTCATTTGCGTTTTCATGGCGGCCCCATTAAATTTCCGAATATTGTCAATTGATTCAATAAATGTAGCTTAACATCAAATTAGTCTATTTGCTTAATACTAATTTATATACAATTAAATAAATACATGTTTACACACATATACATATACATATACATATACACATGTGCATAAATTTAGTGTGTGCTCGTTTAATCTATAATTTAGTGAGTTCGCTTAGCGCCTGAGGTAGCTAATAAACGAGTTGGAGCATAGTGTTGGCTTCACATCTACAAATCTGATTAATTTGCCCAATTCGACAGAAGTTGGATTCATTCACAATTTGGAATGAGAGAAATGCTTTCAGGCTCAGGATGTAAATGCATTTGGCATAGGCACAAGTGCAGTATTAATAGGCAGTGTCATTAAATTATGTTTATTAGCATCAGAAATTTACTTGATTTCGTCTGTCCATCCGTCTGTATGTCCGTCCGCTTAAGCGTTTATCCGCCCGTCTGTCCCTCCGCTTATCCATTAGTCTGTATAGCTATGGCTTAGTCCGCTTGCCTGTCCATTCGTATGTCCGTCCGTCCATTCGTCCGTTCTTCTGTCCGTCCGTCTGTTCGTTCGGTCTGCCCGTTCGCTCATCTGATCATTCTTTTATCCGTATGTCTGCTCGTCCGTTCGTCTGTCCGTCCGTTCGTCTGTCCATATGCCTGTCATTCCCTTATCCGTCCGTTCGTTTGTCCATTCCTTTATCCGTCTGTCCTTCCATTTCTTAGTTCGCCCGCCCGTCCATTCGTCCGTTCTTCTGTCCGTCCGTCTGTTCGTTCGGTCTGCCCGTTCGCTCATCTGATCATTCCTTTATCCGTATGTCTGCTCGTCCGTTCGTCTGTCCGTCCGCTCGTCCGTCCATATGCCTGTCATTCCCTTATCCGTCCGTTCGTTTGTCCGTTCGTCTGTCCATTCCTTTATCCGTCTGTCCTTCCATTTCTTAGTTCGCCCGCCCGTCCATTCGTCCATCCTTTTGTCCGTCTGTCTGTCTGGCCGTGCGTCCGTTAGATCGTCCGTCTACCCGCTTGTTTAGGTTTGTTTAATCGATCATTTCTCTTATTTTTTATGGAATCAATCTGAAACTCTTCATTTATGCGAGCACAGCTCGTGCGTTTGGGTTATACGAGTCTGAAAATTGAGTATATGGAAGTATTACGAAGTATTACACCTTATTGGATATCTGACCCAAATGAGCTGAACTTAAAATAATTTAGTAATTGAGCTAAAAGTACGAGACTTAAGCGAGTTTGCTTCTTAGCAGGTGCGTAGAATCGCCAGATGTGATTTAAGATCTTGAAGCGAGTGAAATGAATATGCCCATTTAGTTAAGCGAATGAGCATGAAAATAAAACTCCATTTCGTGGCGATAGAGACCATGACAGCCAATGGCAATGGAAACAGACAGCTGCAAGACCAAACAGACACAGCCTGACAATGGGGCAGACAAAAAAAAAAAACGTAGAAGAACAAGTAAGAAAGCTCTAGTCGAGACTGCTCGACTACGAGATCCCCTGAACCCTTGGAGCAATAGATATTTCAATACTTTTTCGCGACTTTCAGCTTACACAAGAAACACGCACACACACACACGCACGCACGCACACACAGATAAACATACACACACACGCATATAGACACACATACACACACACACGCATACAGACACAAACGCATACACACACACACATACACACACACATACACATACAAGCAACCACGCATAAACACGCATGGGCTGCAGTGTGCGCTTACTATGAGAACTTAATTGTTTAATAACTTTTTTTATGGACGTACGATCTTCATGAAACTTTTAGATTATGATTATAACATGAATATGCATGTAATTGCCAAAGCACAAGTCTCTAGTATTTGAAATACGCTTTTTACAAAATTGAGGGTGAGGGGGTGAATTTAGAGGTAGGGGTACATTTTAACAAAAACCGAAATTGTATAAATTGCATATAAGCATACATTAAAAATTTGGAGACTCTAGCAATAAAGGTGTAGAAGATATAATTTTATAACTGGGTTTCGATAAGGTTTTTTATCGATAAAAAAAGATCGGGATGAGTTATCGATTTTTAATGATAAACTTGATATGCGCGCTGTAATTACGGACATTTTAAAAAAAATTTGAAGTCTCTAGCTCTTATATCTTCTGAAATCGACGCGTTCATACATACGGACAGACGGACAGACGGACAGACGGACAGACAGACGGACAGGGCCAAATCAACTCAGCTCGTCACCCTGATCAAGAATATATATACTTTGTGGGGTCTGCCACGCCTCCTTCTCCCTGTTACATACATTTCAACAAAACCATTATACCCTGATTTCCCATTGAAAATGGGTTCAGGGTATAAAAAGACTCTTGTTGATGCTGATGAATTAAATATATATACGTGTGTACAATATATCTATATACTATATAGCTGTATACCCACTAACCAAATAGGACAGTCGATGTCAGCTCGAATGAGAAGTGGTTTTGTTTTAAGCACGAGATGTTG